ATAAAGTTAATGATCCACACTAAAATTACTCATCTGTGGAGGAAAAAAAGAGGAAAAATCTTAGCATGGAAACATATCTAAATGACTGATGAATGGCTAGACTTTCCAACTAGACTAAAAAGAAGAAAAAAAAAAAAAAAGAGCTATACACAAACTTCTTTAAATTCCCAAATTGCATAGGTTTATCATTTCCAAGCTGGCTTGGAATGTCATGTGTTCAATGGATTCCAGTGGAAAGCTCCTGTGAATGGAGAAGCCTCTGGGTTTCTCATATAAAGAATCACACTGAATGTCCCTAGAGTGGCAGAACTTTGCAGCAGTAAGTATACAATAAGTCCTAAGTTCCAATCCTGACTGCCAACTTTAAGCTGTGTCATCTTGGGCAAGTCAGTTTAACTCGTACAATAGAAATAACTGTGTTACACAACTGCTTTAAACTTTAAATGAGATAATGGCATCTGACACACTAGAGGCATTAATTAAATGTGTTAACCACTATTAGTACAGTGTCTCTTCCCATATCCCTCTCACTGGAAAAAATAAATCCTGTACTTTCAACAGCAATACCAAAAAAGAGTAGCATTATTTACAGTCAAAGTTAGCTCATTTCATTTTTTATGAGCCCTACTACTGTGCAATAAGCTCGTATTTCCATCACCTTTTTTAACCTAAAAGCAGAGCAGAAAGGAGTCTCTAAGTGCTGTCCTTGATAATTCATGAAGAGGAGCACTGGGAAGGAACTTACTGCCGGCCTCCATGAAAGCTTCAGGAAGGTAAGTGAAACCACTTTCTTGTTCCAGAGGGTTCCCACAGCTAGCATGCTCACCAGGACGCTGAAGGTTAATTACTGTTTTTATGCCACAGCTTAAAGACAAAAAAAAAAAAGTCATACTGGGAGCTAGAATTAAAAAAAAAAAAAAATTACTAATTACTCTCAAAACATTAACTTCTCATTTCAGATAAACTTTTCACTGCCTATTATTAAAGTGAAAACACTTTTTCATTTGAAGTCAAAAGCAATGAAAGAAAACACACATTAGTTCCTTTACTACAGTGTGTGACTAATGAGAGCATTTACCTTTGGAACTGCTCGATGATGTGGTACTTTTCAATGAGCTCGGTGGATGGGCGAGCCATGGCAAGTATGTTATCAGTGACCCTGCAGGTGTGGGAAGAGGACTGATGAGACACACAAAACCTAGAATGTTCCAGCTCTAAGGACTAGAGAGGGCAAGAGATCAAGTTCCTACTTTTTCTATGATTTTAACAATTCTACAAGATAAGAATCTTCTTATACAAATTTGGCTGCAATTTTACATCATGATTACAGCTCTATGAAACCCTAGCTTCTTAAAAACTCTGGAAAAAATAGCAGGACAAAGTATTTGTGGACTCTAGCAACATGTTTTCAAGGACTCTTAAGAGATTACTAAAGTAGACATGATGGAAAAACCTCAGCTGGAGGCAAAGGTAACAGTGTAGGATCAGTTATCCAAAGGTTAGTGACTAGATGAAGAGGGCCTACTGGGAGACATTTTCAATTACTGAACTATCTGAACCTCAGTTACCAACAGTGTTAAATGAGGATAATAATGTCTGCCTCATAGAGTTGGTGTAAGAAATACGATGTGGAGGTAAAGTCTTTAGCACAAATCCTAGCATGCAGTAATGAATAAATGCTGAGTTACTGGAATTTAGCAAAAAATACAGGCTTTGGAATTAGTTGGGCCTGGCTTCAAATGCTGTCTTTTCTACTTCCTAGCCGTGTAGCAGATTACTCTGGACCTCAATTCCTTCAATAAAATGGCACTAGTAGCACCTACTTCACAAGAGTTTTGTAAAGATTAGAGGTAATCATTTGAAAGCATTTAACACAGTGCCCAGCCTGCAGCCTAATGATGTGTTTACTGAATAAATGAACGGACTAAAAGTCCAATAAATGGATGTCACGCTCATTAGTGTTCTGGCTCCACTCTATTCTGTTCAAATTTTTCGTTAGTGGCATGGTGGAAGACACATAAAGAAGTCTATGGGAAGTGTGGATCACACGAACCTGAGAGGAATTACAGAGACATTGCATTAGCAGAGCAGGATCCAAGAAGATCCTCCCCCTGAAACAATGCCTGGAATTTAACCGAGGCCAGTGTTTCAGAATCCCAAATCTGAGTAGTACTTAGTATAAGATTGGGGGATGCAACTTAAAAGCAGCAGAGGTGAAAGAGATTAAAGAGCTTAGTCAACAACAGACCAAAAATATTCATGTGACCTTAAGCTGCATTATTAGAAATTTACTTGTCTGACTATACCTCAGGAATAACGTTCACTTCTTTATGTTATTCCTTAGGAAAGTCAGTGATTGGCTACCATACGCTTTGAGAACAATGACAGTGGACCTCAACTATAAGATCACTACAGAGGTACCCAGAAAATTCAACATGTCAAAGTACAGACTGTAAGTTAGATAAGTTGGTCAACAAACACCTAGATGGATTCTTGCTGTATAAAACAACTCACTACTAGAGTTCTTTAAACAGTGAAGTCCTCCAAGTGCACCTCAAATGTGATTTATCAGAATTTTTCAGAGATGTCAACACATCAAAAAAGGTATACTTGAATAGTTAACTGTTAAAATAAAAACAGTAAGATTCAAAATACTCATGTTTCCCTACAAACCATAAACAGCATAAGCCATCTTACTGTCTACGGAGCTGATAATGTGTACCATTTCTATTAAGATAGACTTGAAGTGTATTAGTGTAAAAACATTTTCCTTTTATGTACAATACAGTAACAAGATAAAAATAAGGCTAAAAACATATCCATAAAAAACTGAAAAACTACTTATCTACCTCATAATTTCTCAAATTTATAACTAAACATTGTTATTTCTACCAATTTCTGAAATTTAAGAGCTATTTAATTATCCATTTCTTTAAGACACTTTAC